CAGGAGATATCCGCACCAATGCAACTCATCAGACTGGACTCGGGGGAAAAATAGTCCTGAAAGCGAGCTGTGAGCCTCTACTCTGAATTATCTGGTGAATTAATTATGAATTAATTATCTGATGAACGTGACATGCTCTGGCTCTCTGTAAATAAAGCAAAGCCACTTCCTCGTCCGACATTAAACAGAGCCCGACAGAGGAGGGAGGGGCAGGGAGGCTGTTGCTGCCGTGCAGCGCAGCTGTCCTGCGTCTGACCTCAAAGTGCACAAGCTTCAAACTTCAGCGTTGGCTGCGATTTTGAAGCTGAAATCACGTTCGGTGTGAACGCACCATAATGTTACAACTAATCGTGGATCCCTTTAAAAATATTTGGCTCGCAAATAACCTAAAACTGACAGCAGCTGGCTGTTAGCTCATGAAAACAATCCGAACTAAATTCTGTTTCTCCAAATTGAGGTTGTTCAAAGAGCTATCTACACCAGGTAAGATATTTGCAGTTCATAACCTTTATAGAAAACCCTTTTTTCAAAAATCTGACTTACTGCTAATCTCAAGTTTTGTTCAAAATCAAATAATAAGCTTTCTATCTCTTTATCCTCAAATTATAAAATAAATAAACCTTTCAGAGCTTGTGCTTCAGTTTAAAGCCATTTCCAGGTACAGTCAGATGTTCGTGTATCAGCATATAAAATCAAGAACTGCATTCTGAACTTTACCAGTTAGGAGTGCTCTTTCCCACTCAGAGCCAATAAAACAGTGCGATTCAGACACGTCACCCAGTTGAGCGCTGGCATTTCCACCCCTCCTTCAAGTCCTTCTGGCTGCCTTTCACAGCTTGTTTCGGACCCGCAAGAACACGGAGGCCTAAATGTCACAGCGCCTTCTTCTCCACAGAGGTGAGACAGCAGGGCACCCTAAGTGCTGGTGTTCCCACTCAACATCCACCGTCTAATGCTTTTAAAGCACAGAGAGGATGGAGGAAATTACATGAATTAAAGTGTTTAAAATACGAAACTCTGACAGTGACATAGCTCATAAAAGCATTTTACCTAAACATGATGACATCGAGGATCACGGAGTCTTTATCGTGTTCACTTTTTAAACCAGAAGAGGACCAAATGCACAAACTTCAGCTCAGATTTATCATTTTCTCCCTGTATAGTTGAGGAAAAAAACATGCTGGGATTTCCTTGAGATTTGTCAACAGATGAAAATTTTTAGTCTCTTTGAAAAWCTATTAACAAGCTTTTATTAAAGGTGATTCGCGACATATGGCTGCTTTGAACACAACACATATAGAGAAGATCTCTCTGTACAGACAGTGGAGAGCACACTGTAGATTAAAGATGGGGAAAAATCAAGTTTGATCACAGGGTTTGGAGAARAGTGAGAAAAAGCTAATGAGCAAGCGAGAATGAATAAGAAAAGAAAAGTGAAGCAGTGGAAGAGAGCAGATGTTGGGTAATAGTCCTCTGCTCTCATTACTTTTTCCTCCCTGACATTATTGTTTGTGAAATTGATATTACAGCGGACATAATAGCCTCTATCTGCGATTTTCTCCTGCATAATTCCCTCGCTTCTGCTTCTTCAAAGGCAGGTGTGATGCTTGCTGGATGTAGAAGAGACCCCCTTTTTTTCTACCGGTATGGACAGCATGCAGTTTTCATGTGGGCTAAAATGCAGAGAATTTCCCATCTGGTCATATTTTTAGACTGCTGCAAAAGAGCCCACGAATGGGACCAGTCTCGCTAATCTCTCCAACAAACAAAATAAAAATAAGTTGCACTTAATTGTCCATGAATCAACGGGACACAGCTCATTTTCCTCAGCAGCCTGAAATTATTACTAAACATTGTTAGACAATAAAGGCCTTCAGCCTCTTAGAATAAAACATGGAACAGATTAGTCTCTGCAGAAGCTGTTTTGTTTCTAAAAATGGTTTTACAAAACTTTGATAAAAGTTTTAGTAATGTTTTATAAACAGGTTATAATCACAGATTTCAAACACTTCATAAAAGCATCATGAGGCATTTATAAAAGCACTGCTTATAGATTTTACAGGGATCACCTTTTGAGTACGCTCAAATTCTGCACCGCTGTTTAATCAGGTAAATG